AAGTTAACTGGTATCTGGTCGGGTTCCAGGATTTTCAGCAATTTTCTGGGGATAATATCAACTCTATTAGAGAAGAGGAGTTATGTCAGTTGATTTACGGTAGTCTGAGAAATAGACTCGTGCTGGGGAATTTGTAGTTTGTTGGGGAAATAAACCTGGTTGAGGAAAGTATTCTGAAGACCTTACTGGGGAAATGAATTCAACAGGGGAAGAACTTTTTCAAGGTTTCTTTTTTGGTTTTGGAAAACTCGGTTGGGGAATATGCTGATTGGAACTCTGGATGGAGAACGTATGAATTCACTCTGTGGGGATAATCTTATTAAAGTAACTTTGTGGGGATACCCCAAATCCTTGAGTAAATGCTTATTACTATTCTTGTGCATACATTTGTTTACAGTTAATTATGTTCATATGCATATGTTCATTCAATTTTAGTTATTGGACGTTTTTGCACTCAAAATAGAAAAAAAAAACAAAAGGTTTGCACTTCAAAGTATATTTGTATTGATAATTTGCCTAAAAACAAGCGTTTTCATACAGGGAGATAGAAGTCCTGGTAAGAGGAAGTCGTCGAAAAAGTGAAAAGAATACAAAGGGAAAACAAAAATTATATAGCCATGTGTAAGTGATCTCATTGGGTTCCAACTCTGCTATTGCCCCCATGTCTTCGAACATCATCTCTTGCTGTCGAAAGAAGTTGATTGAATTGATTTCGTACCATTTGAACTTTTGACCTTGGTAATAAAGCCGGCTGTGGTGATTCAACGGGACATAGTCATACGCTTTAATCCTTAACTTTTTCCTGAACCGCTCTTTCATGTTTTTAGTCCACCAGGATACCCATTTTTACCCAAGTTGCCATTTTAGGTTTTCGACTTGCCGTGTGTACAATCTTTTGTATATATCCTTAATTTTTGCCTGAACCTTTTTAGTTCGTCAGGATGCCCGTATTTCCTAGGTATGCCAACCGTGAGTAGTATTTTTTTACTATGTCTGCGTTCATAAGATGCGGGAAATCTCCGTTGTCCATAGTGGTTAACATCGTAGCACCGTTAGAGAATACTTTCTTGACAACAAATGACCCTTCGTAAGTGGGAGTCCATTTTCCCCTGAGATCACCTTGTGGTAAAATGATGTGCTTTATTACCAAGTCGCCAGCCTGGTATACTCGAGGTTTGATCTTCTTATTGAATGCCTTGATGAAAAGAACTAAGACTTTTTGAGCAGGTAGAACATTCATAGTTGCTTGCTCACAACCATTTTCAAAACATCTTTCAAACACACCAACACTTTCAAATGAAATATTATCAAAAGTCAACACTTTGTATGCATTTTTATAGAGACGGGAATCATTACAAAGTTCACCTAAACGAAGGCACTTTTCAAAAATACTTTCAAAACCCATCACAAACACATTTCAAACAAAGCATTTCAAAGTGAGCTAGCAACTAAGAGCCCGTAGATAATTTTGAATGAAAAGGATGCTAACACCTTTCTTTTTCATAACTTACCCCCGAACTCATGAAAAAATTCTCAAAAGGTCTTTCCTGTTCTTTTCACCCTTTCCTTTATTGGATAAAAAAAAAGTCGGTGGCGACTCTTGCCATCCGCAACAATTGCGATCAAATGCAAAACACCCAAGTCAGTTCTCCCATCGTATTACAACGGGTATCACCGGTGTTAGAATCAACAAATTCTATATATCTTTTTCCTATTAGATCACATCTCTCTATCACCCACTGTGGAATTTACTAGACATTTCCATATCAATCATCATGAAATTAATAAACCTTGCTTTCTAAAACATAACATTTAACACATAGAATTAATATAACAACAATACTCATACAACATTTCTCTGCATACTCTTGGGATTAACAACTTCCATCTTCCATAGGCACCATGTTGGCTTTATAGCGAGTTGGTCCCGCCTTTTTCACTATACACATCTATTCCTTCATCATTGTTGCCAACAAAAAATAAACCATACATGTAAATACCCCATATTAACAAATACTATATGATATTAAAAAACGTAAAATATGATCAACACAATATATATGTAAAACTCTACCAATTCGGAAATGTCGCATGTGATAATGGGAATAAAAATTTAAATAAAAATAATAGATATCTATTTTCTATACTATATCTCTAACCATTGCATACATTAATAATTTCACATAATAACTTTTCCAAACTTACCTTGAACTATTAGAGTATAACATCGTCACTTTTTCTTTTTCATTTCCCTCTATTGTTACAACCGCATGCATGGTACCTTCAGCTTTTATGATATCGTCCTCTAAAAAAATCCTTCCCACCAGTTATAACTTTCTCCTTACCACAAACATCATCAGAACGTTTCACCTTCTTCGTTGAACCGCATTCGCCGTTCATTTCATCCTCCTCATGAAACATGCAACAACACATATTATAAACTGAATATCAATAGAGGAAGCTACAATCAAACTTAACATTGAAACTCGACATTAATATCTATTACCTTCCCACTCCAGTTGAAGTCCTCATCTTCTATGCTGATATTGTACAGAGAAGATCTAAAATGGCTTAACAGTTGCAATGGTGTTTCACAAAAGACTTTCTAACTCAACAAAACATTCAAATACATGTTTACCACTTATCACACCCGTTTAATATAAATAAATCAACAAAAAAAAGTACCGTACTGAACAGTCACCACCTTACTTCAATTACTTTTCCAATACGTTTTATCAACCACTATTCAACTGCAATAATTATTATTTCTTATTCAATATTATCTTGGTGGAACTTAAATAAATTGAAACACCTATAATGACTTTATGTTATAATAATTTAATATTATTAGTGTTTGTTTTATAAAACTATTTTTTATCAATGATATCAAAAAATAAATAACAGGTAATGTTATTAGTGTTTTTTGGTAACTGATAAGTATACTATTATCATTTTGTTTAATTATATATATTTATTTTATTTATAGATATATTATTAATATAAGTATTATTCAATTATGTTTAATGGTGCTGCCTTATTGTCAATTGTTTCATACAATTATTTTGTATCAATGATATCAAAAAATAAATAACAGGTATAATTTGAGAATAAAATAGTAATTTTAATTATAAATATGTAATTTATAGTGTAACAGATATAAAAAAAACATAGCTACTCAATACAAACATAATATTTCAGGTATTAGTCTTACAAAATTATTAAACATTGCTTTCACAAAACATCCTAATTAGGCCCGAAACAAAACAAATAAACTACCTTAATAACCAACACTTCACCACCCAACATCAAATGCCATCTTTTAATCACCAACTTTCAAACATTCTTACCCAAATCTTCCTCGGTTCTTCAATGTAACAACAACCCTTTGAAATGCGGGATCTAGCTTTCTTGATGGATGTTCACGAATGCAAAACGTAACCTTATCTCCACTTTGAAGACGACTGTTCTTCGCAAATCCGTACCAGCCCTTCCCGAAATACATTTCTACAGAATACTCCCTTTTAGCAATATGAAATTCACACTGATATACTTTCCCCGTGTTGGCATCGCCCAAGTCAATGCGTCTATGACCCATATTCAAACACCTCCTGATTATTTCTTGCAGGGAATTCCTGCAGATAAAACAAATTATATTATATAAATACACACTACATTGTGGTTATAAAATTTGACTAAAGACATTTAATTCAAATCTTATAACGCTTACAAAGACATTTTTAATAGCCCTTTCCCCGCATTTTATTTCCTTCGTCCAAAGGCAGTACTCGTGCTTCTTCTTGTACCTGGAAACTATGGATTCACTCTTTTTACAATTTCTCCTTTGAACTTTAGGAGAAACAACCCTGCATTAATCACCATAAACCAATCAAATATATTAATCATAAATCTAACACTTTTCTATCGCCATACAATGTCATAAATTCACAGTTCCTGAATAAACATTACTTATCTATCACCGTCACTTCCATGCATAACACACTCAAACTCATAATCACCATTTTTTTTCTTTAGCACCAAAGCATGACTTATCTTTTCCATTCACAACACACCCAAATGAACCTCCGCTTTCCATCTTCTGATGGAGAAGAGATTTGAGGCTGCAATTGTTATAATTAATACCGTGCTGAGCTAAATTGAACCGTTTAGATTTTCTTGCTGGACCAATGGAAGTTTGTATGCTGATCCATTACAATTACAACCCAATATAATTTCCTTAGTTTTTTAGTCCAAATATTAAGAATCAACTCTTATTTTATTACATTTTTTTATGTATTATTTTTTTTAATATGATAAAATCAAAATGATTTTCATTTAATTATTATATCTCAACAATTTACATTACATCTTACTTAACATTTTTTTCAATAAAATTAAGTCAGAACATATGAAATAACAGTTGTGATTAGTTAATAGATTCTGACATTAGTAAGTGTTTCAATTAATCAGTACAAGATGACACGAGTCTTTTGTTGAGCTATGAAACTTATCAATTTATCGCACATACTCTGATGATGGATTATTGAATTGGACAATCAATATTTTAGGTTTTATATTGCAATATTTAGTAGTGAGATTTATATTTACTTATTTTTTTATGGGTCTTATAAAATTTCGGCAGTATTTAGCTAACTTGACCTTTTCTAATTTTCTAAGTCTGCTGGATTGGGATCAGTAAACTGTCAATAATATAGAAGTTGTAGTAGGCTATAGCCATAGATAAAACTTGTGGTAATTAACATTGTGATATCATTGCGAAAACGAAAATGGAAGTTATTATACAGAGGCAATATATATAGAGCCTTTATTTGCATGCAGAAAGGGCACATTGTGCATTACATCTTAAAAGAGCTTTTAAAACAGAAAAAGGAAAAAAATTGAAAATAAGAACATAGACATTTCATATGAAAAACATAACAAACAACCACTCTGAATTTTACTTTACCAAGTTAAATGTGCACATTCTTCAGTGGTGGTCATTATTAGTTCTTAGATGCTGGGAAGAGGCCAAAAGGTCGGGGGTTGTAGTGTTGTGGTTTTTTCATCTGTGATGGCTTCACAAGAGGAGGAGGCGGGTAAACAGGTGGCTTCACATGAGGAGGTGAGTGAAATATTGGATGATGGTACACAGGTGGTGGGGGTGACGTCTCATAAGGCGGTTTGTACACTGGTTGTGGACTCTCATGTGGTGGTTTCACGTGTGGCGGTTGATACTCGGGCGACGGATGTTCATGAGGGGGTTGATATTGTGGTGGTGGATTCTCATGAAGAGGTTTCTCATGAGGCTTATGGTAATTTGGAGGTGTATGTTCATGTGGTGGTTTTTCATGAGGTGGTGGGTAATAAGATGGTGAATTTTCATGAGGTGGTTTCTCATGAGGGGGTTGATACTCTGGTGGTGGATTTTGATGTGGTGGTTTATCGTGCGGAGGTTGGTACTCCGGGGGTGGATGTTCATGTGGTGGTTTTTCATTAGGTGGTTGGTATTCTGGTGAGGGATTTTCACGAGGAGGATGTTCATGCGGTGGTTTTTCATGAGGTGGTTGGTACTCTGGTGGTGTATTTTCATGAGGAGGTTTGTACTCTGGCGGTGGTTTCTCGTGCGGGGGTTGGTACTCTGGCGGTGAATGTTCATGCGGTGGTTTTTCACGAGGTGGTTGGTACTCTGATGGCGGACTCACATGAGGTGGTGTTTCGTGTGGTGGTGGGTACTCAGGTGGTTGATGTTCATGTGGTGGTTTCTCGTGAGGTGGTTGGTATTCTGGTGGTGAATGTTCATGAGGTGGTTTTTCGTGTGGTGGTTGGTACTCAGGTGGTTGATGCTCATATGGTGGTTTCTCGTGTGGTGGTTGGTATTCTGGTGGTGAATGTTCATGTGGTGGTTTTTCATGAGGTGGTTGATACTCTGGTGGTGGATTTTCATGTGGTTGTTTTGCATGAGGAGGTTGGTATTCTGGTGGTGGCTTCTCATGAGGCGGTGGATACTCAGGTGGTGGCTGATACTCTGGTGTTGGGTGTTCATGATACGGTGGTTTTTGATGATGAGGTGGTTGATACTCTGGTGGTGGTTTCTCATAAGGTGGTTCATACTCTGGCGGTGGATTCTCATACGGTGGTTTTCCATGATGTGGTGGCTCGTATTCTGGTGGTAGATTCTCACCAGGTGATGGTTCATACTCTGGTGGTGGTTTTTCATACGGTGGTTCGTACACCGGAGGTGGCCTCTCATGGGGAGGATGGTATATTGGCCGTGGGTATACTGGAGGTTTATAGGCCGGTGGTTTATGAGTTGGTGGGGGCTCATAAGTTGGTGGGCTTTCGAATGGTGGTGATTCATAAGTGAGTTGTTTGTTGTAATTAGCCAGCACAGGAGTGGTGAGCATTACCATTCCGAGCAGGAGTATTGCTAGTGAGTGTATAGAAGCCATGCTTCAGCTTGTGATGAAAAATTAGAATGAAGAAACAAGTATTTATAAGGAAATAATGTAAAAAATTTGTGTAGAGTTGTCATCAACTCTGTTATTTCTTTATGCATACATATTATAAAATTATAAAAAAGTCTAAGTGAGGTCAAAAGAAAGTAGCATCGTTTAATTTGATATTAACAATCCATGCATTCTTTATATATAAATGGTGACAATTTTTGGAGACAATTCTAAACTTAAATCTCATGTGGTATTATATAAATTTTATAATTTTTATGTGATATTTTTAGAGTAATCGGTAAGTAAAACTTAATAATAATTTTATGTGATATTTGTAGAGCAATCTTAAATAAAACTTAATAATAATAATAATAATAATAATAATAATAATAATAATAATAATAATAATAATAATAATAATAATAGAATAAAAATATTAAAGTAAAAATAATTAATTTATTGAGATGATTAATCCATAATAAATAATTATTTTTCATACTCTATGAAATAAATAATATTCATAAACTAGGTCACAACATACGTCTTCCATTATGATAAACAAACAAAAAATCATGAAAATATGAATGAAGTTATTTGATTATCAAGTAACACCAAAAAAAAAAACTAAAATATAATATAATTTAAAAAAAATATCTAAAAAATATATAGTTTAAACTATTTTTTAGACTTCACATTGAATAAAAAATTTCTTAGATTTTGTAAATTATAGACTAAACACTAAAAGAATAATTGAAATTTATATTGATTTATTCTTATATGTATTATAAACTTAATAATTAATTATAAATATTATCTATAAATAATTTAATATAATTTTATTTATAATATTGCATTATTCACGTAAATATGATAAATCTTTCAAATTTAAATAATATAATTGAAAATTTATTATATATAAATTATTAGAGATTCTCATATTTTCAAAATATTATTTATATTTAATATAACTTTAAAACAAATTTAAATATATGATATAATTTATATATATAAATTTATTAACATAAAAATTCTAATCAAATCCTTACAACTCACGGGCCATAGATCTAGTTGATGTATATTTCACCATTTCATTGATAACTTAAAGGCTATGATACACCAATGAGTTCATGGTTCAAACATGAATTACTACAATAACTTGAAAAATGAGTGATTGCATTGAATCTTGGTCTCTTCATTTCACCTCATAATAGATAAATGAGATATCTTAGTTTCGAAACCAGCATCAGTTGTAAAATTTATTATTGAAACAATTCCAAATAATATTACAAAGATATATCTAATTATTTTATTGAGTAAAACTCATACATGTCTAAGGTAAGTCGGGAACAATAATGAAATTAGGTAAAAAAAATTGTATCCTTCATAAAAATTCAGGATAGTTTATTCTAAATGGGACGTATATCAATGAAATTCTATTACATAAAATAAAATTTTAAAATTTATTTTAATTCAAAATTTTAACGAATCAAAATTAAATCAAGAAAATAATATATATTTAAATGATAAAATGTTAGTATATGAAATACAAACAATAATTCACGCATTGAATGGTAAATAGTATGTTGAACACTTTATAATAGAGAGGGAGGAGACATAAACTAAATACTTTAAAATTTTAGACTAATATATGTTTTAAAAATTTACTTTATGTGTCAAATATTTATTGATATACGTCGGAGTAAATTACCTCTAATTTAACCATGGATAACCTAGGTTTCACCATGAACAAAAGGATTTATTACATTTCTAACTGAAGTTTTAATTTATTAAATATAGAATTAAATATGTTTTTGGTCCTCCTAAATATCTCATATTTACTTTTAATTTCTCTAATTTTTTTTTAAAGAATAGTTCTCCTAAAAATTTTAATTTTAACTTTTTGCCCCTCAAGCCAAAACTGTCGCTAAAATTGTCGCTAATTCAATCGCTAAATAAAAAATTGTCGTTAAGTTGTAAAAACCGTCGCTAAATTGGAAGAGAGGCCAAAAGTTAATATTAAAATTTTTAAGAGGACCATTTTTTTAAGAAAAATTTTGGAGGGACTAAAAGTTAAATATAAAATATTTAGGAGGATCAAAAATATATTTAACCATTAAATATATTAATAATTTTTTTAGATTTAAATATATTTATGGTCCTCCTAAATATCTTATAGAATGATCCTCCTAAATATTTACATCCAAATTTTTGATCTCTCCTGCACTTAGCAACCGTTTTATACAACTTAACGACTGAATTATCGATTGTTTTAGCAAATGTTTTAACAAGATAGACCAAAACTATAGATAAACTTTTTTATGAGAACCATAATTGTGTTGAAATATTAAATTAAATTTGTTAAATATTAGATTAGATTAGATTTAATATTTAAATATAATCTAAGTTGTGTAGACCCAAATCCAATTAGGGTGGTATATAAATAGTTATAGTCTGTATCATTATTTGTACAATTCAATTATACAAATCCTTATTTCCTTTATTATTCCCTCTTTCTCTCCTCATTAAAAGTGTCTCACGCACTAACAAATTGGTATCAAAGCTTTCGATTATTATTCTTGATCGAGTTTTCAAGAATTTCACGTCAAAGATCGTGTTTCCAGGGCAAGTGAATCAATCGTTACCAAGATGACTAGTGATAAAGGCATTCCAAATTCTCTTCCAATACTTGACCGTAAGAATTAGATCCGATGGAAAAAACATATGCAATCCTCGTTTGGCTTCCATGAAAGCCTAGAAGTGGTTATCGATGACATTCCTGCGTTGGCTGCAAATGCAACCGACAAACAGAAAAAATACCCACAACAAAGTCAAGAAGAAAGATTGCAAGGATGCTTATTGCATTCAGACAACGGTCGATGCTGCTAATTTCGACAGAATCTCTCATGCTGAAACGGCGAATGAGACATGGGATATTTTGGTGAAGTATTACGAATGAGGTGAAAAAGTCAAGGTTGTCAAGTTACAAACCTTGCGTCGATAATATGAGTTGTTGTCAATGAGAGGAGATGAAAAAGTTATAGAATATGCATTGATGGTTCAAAAACTCGTTCATCTCATGAAGGGTTGTGGTGAAACCATAACTGATAAGATAATAGTTGAGAAGGTAATGATAATGTTGACATATCACTTTGATCACATTATCGTAGCTATTCAAGAATCAACAATCTTGAAACCACTAAAGTGGAAGATTTGGTTGGTTCGTTGGAGGCGCATGAGATGAGGATTGCCGAAAGGAAAAGAGTGTAAGACTCGACACAGGCTCTACAAGCTCAGTCATGGAAAAAGGATGGTGGTTCCAATAAATTCAAAGAAAAGTTCAACAAGACTCAGGAAAGAAGTCTTGGTCAAAACCTCACAAACATCAGGTCGAAGATGGAGCTTCTGAATCCTCGAAAGGAGGAGGAGGAAACTATCGAAAGGGCAAAGAAGATAAAAAAGGTGTGCAGTGCTATAATTGTGAAAATGGGGTCACATAGATAAGAATTGTCGTTACAGAAAAGATAAGGGATCGACAAGCAAGGACGAAGGAGCGAACCTTGCACACCAAGATTCAAATCATTCTGAAGGTGGTATGGTGGCTATGGCTGCAGTTCCAGATAACCATGTCGAATCCCAAATCTGGTTTCTCGACTCAGGCTGCTCGAATCACATGACTCGTCAAACAAAGTTGTTGACAGATTTTGATGAGTCGAAGAAGAGCAAGGTAAAACTTGTTGATAATAGTTCATTGCAAGCAGAAGGTATTGGAAATATAGTCTTTCAAATGACCAATGAAGGGAGAGCTATAATCAAAGATGTGCTTTATGTACCTGGAATAAAGTGCAACTTACTAAGTGTTGGACAACTAGTCGAAAAAGGTTTCTCAGTTGTCATGAAAGATGGAGTTTTGAAATAGTTCGACACCAAGAACAATTTAGTCTTAAAATCTCCGCTGTCGAAGAACAGGATATTTAAGACTATGATCAGTTTGACTGAAGTTCAATGTTTGAAAACTATTAGTGACCACAAGGATAGTTGGTTATGGAATTTGAAGTTTGGACATTTGAATTTTCGATCACTCAATCAACTGATTACTCAAGATATGGTTACTGGAATTCCAAGTCTTGAGATTCCTGAAAAACTTTGTCAAGATTGTTTAGTAGGAAAGCAATCTAGAAATTATTTCGTTTCGACTATGCCAATAAGATCATCTTGCATACTCGAAATGGTACATTCAGATGTATGTGGTCCATTCGAAGAACATACAATTAGTGGAAACAAATATTTTGTTTCATTTGTTGATGAGTTTAGTTAAAATTTATGGATCTATGTGATCAAATGAAAGGGCGAAGTATTCGAAATATTTAAGAGATTCAAGATACTTTTAGAAAACCAGAGTGAGAAAAAGATTAAATTTCTGCGAATAGATGGAGGTGGTGAATACACATCCAAAATATTTGAAGATTTCTATGTAGAACATGGTGTTGATCATGTGGTAACTTCTCCTTATACACCTAAACATAATGGAATTACTGAAAGAAGAAACAAAACCATATTAGATATGGAGAGATGCATGTTGAAGCAAAAGAATTTGCCAAAGTCTTTATAGGGAAAAGCTGTTTCGAGTGAAGTTTATATTTTGAATAGGTGTCCTACCAAGATATTGAAGAAAAAAGTTTATGAAGAAGTATGAAGTGGCAAACGACCACTAGTGAGTCATTTGAAGGTGTTTGGCTCTATGTGTTACAAGCATATTCCTGATGCGAGAAGAAGGAAGCTTGATGAGAAAAGTGAACCTATGATTCTGGTAGGATATCATAAAACGGGTGCATACAAACTATTCAATCTATTTAATGAGAAGATTGTGTTGAGTCGAGATATTGTAATTAATGAAAATTCTGCATGGGATTGGAATTCTAGCAATTCAATTAACAAGCCATTGATGAGTTCGATTGTCGATGAAGAAACTGATGAAGTAGAGGTTGAAGGAATTGTTGATAATC